CTCCCCAAAGAGGTCCGCCTGGCACCGTCATTACTGGTTTTTCGGCGTCAGGTAAAGGCCTTTTTATTTAAACATCATTTTAATTATTAAAATATATGATCTGGCCAGGGCAACTTCTTCTTCCTTCTCTTTTCTCCTCCTATATTCTTTATTTACTTATTTTATACTGTTAATTTTAATTTTATATTATTATGTTTGTATCTCAGTGTATTTTTTGTATTTTTGTATTTAGTGGTAATTTATTATGTTCTATTGTATTTCAATGTATTTTATTGTGTTGTAAGCCGCCCCAAGGCTTCGGCAAGGGGTGGCATAGAAATGTTATAATAATAATAATAATAATAATAATAATAATAATAATAATGTGCACCGATGAGGCAAGGGTGTTCAAGGATAGGCTGGTAGACATCTTAGAACATGCCTGGATACAAGCAACTTCATTTTCTCAGATTAAGCTTCCCTAGGTAGAGAAGTGTTAATTGACCTTAAGCTGCTGCATTTGTTGTTGTTGTTGTTAGTTGCAAAGACGAGTCCGACCCACTGTTTCCCCATGGACAACATTCCTCCAGGCCTTCCTGTCCTCCGCCATCCCCCAAATCCACTTAGTAGCTTTTGCTGCTTTCCCCTTTGGATTATCAGGAGTTATAGAAGAATGAACCAGAGGAAATTATACTTTCTTTTATTCCATAATAAAATGCTGCATTTTCTCACCACTAAAAAAGAAAAAGTGGGGGAGACAAGTAATCAAAAGTGCTGAAGTAAAACTGGAAGGTTATGATCTCATATAGAATAGTAGCATTGAAAGGGGTCAGAGGGCCATTAGGTCCAACCTGCTGTTCAGTGCAGGACCCTCAGTTAAACCGCCCCTCTCAGATGGCCGTCCACTTGCATCTTGAATGCCTCTAGTGTGGGACAGCCCACCACCTCCCCGGGTCATTGGATCCATTGTCATACTGCTCTACCAAGTCAGGAAAATTTTCCTAATATCTAGCAGGACTCTGGCTTCCTGTAACTTGAGGCCATTATTCCATGTTCTGCACTCTGGGACAGATTAGGAATCCCTTGGAGGGACCATGTTTGGCAGAATTCATCTCCCAGCAGGTATCAGGGAATTTGAAGTCCTCCATAATTATGACAACGTGCTTCCTTGAAACGCTGGCAATTTGCTTTTCAACCTCCTCTTCTCCTTGACTGGATGGTCAGTAACAGGCTGCAACCGCTGTGTTCCTTTCATTCCTTGCTCCATTTATATTCGTCCAGGTGCTCTGCGTGGGGCCACTAAGGCCATTCTCCTGGATTTCCATGCAGAGACATGCATCCTTACCTTATGGTGTGACTCCACCTTCCCATTTTCCAGGCATTAGCACATAGACATTGAAGGCCACGTGCTTTATTCTCTAGCTGTCTCTGTACCGTTTTTGGAGGGCTCTGAAGGGGCACCGCCAGAGCTGCTGTCTGGCCTATGCCAGGCCAGGAGACAGCCATGGCAGGAACAGCAGGTGTACCTGCAGCTCCTTTAGGGTAACCATTAGTGAGGAATCATCAGGATGGCGGTCAGTGACAAGTGGGGTCCCCAGGGCAATCCTGGGGGCAATCCTGTTTAATCTTTTCATCAATGACATGGAAGAAGGGGTGCACAGTCTGCTGATCAAATTCACAGATGACACTAAAACTGGAGCAGTGGCCACAACTGAGGAGCAGGTACTCCAGATCTAAAAGGATCTTGACAGACGATGGAAGTGGGCAGGAGACAACAGGATGGCGTTCAATGTGGATAAGTGCAAGGTCTTGCACTTGGGGCACAGGAATAGGTGTCATAAGTACAGGTTAGGGGACAAGTGGCTGGAGAGCAGCACTTGTGAAAGGGACCTCGGGGTGCTGGTTGACTGCAGGCTAAACATGAGCCAGCAGTGTGACGTGGCAGTCAAGAGAGCATAGCCAGAAGCATGGCTTCCAGCTCAAGAATGCTATTACTACCACAGTATATGACTCTGGCGCACCTGCAATTGGAATATTGTGTTCAGTTCTGGACTCCACATTACAAGAAGGGTATAGCCAGGTTAGAGTCAGTGCAGCGTAGGATGGTGGCTGGATGGCACGGAAAGGCGAGACTGAGGGAACAGGGTCTTTTCAGCCTGGAGGAGAGTCCGAGGGGCTCTGTTGGCAACATACAGGTACATGAGGGGGTGTCACAGTGAGGTGGGTAGAGACCTCTTCTCCCCTGCAGAGGAGGGCAGGATGTGTTCCAGTGAAGCAAAGCTCAGGAAACTAAGAATCAGTTTGGATGCCAGGAATACTTCCTGATGGTTAGGACCCTGAGGGTATGGAATGGGCTTCCACAGGAGGTGGTTGAGGCCCCATTGGGGAGGGTGTTCATGGATAGGCTGGACATGCACGTGGTAGGCATGTCATGAGCAGAGCCGGGGGTCAGACTAGATGGCCCAGGAGATCCCTTCTGACTCGCTCTGTTTCTATGTTTCTGTGTCTTCCTCTCCCAGGAGGAGCTGGGATGCACTTTCACTAAGTGCAAGCTGGTGTCCTTCCTTGAGGGTCTGGAGGACGCCATCACCTCCCTCTGGGGAATAATGGAAGAAAAACAGTTCCTGGACATTTCCCAGGAGGTCCTCCAGGCCACCAGTGGCAAAATGAAGAGGGACACCAGGGAATCATCTGGGGAGATGTGGAGACATGTCGCACTGAGGAGGTGACATGGCTGGCACCACGCCCTCCCATCTCCAGGTTCTGATTTGAAGCTGAGATGTAGGTTTCCTTTGCTTGAGCAGACTGGGACTATGGGTACCCTGGGGGACCAGCCTGCTCGGGAGATATGGCCTGAGGTCAGACGCAGGCAGGTGGCCAATGTCGGAGATGCAGGGATTGAGGTGCAGCCCCCAGTCTCCACAGAACAGGTGAGAGGGAAGAGGGTCATTGTCGTCAAGGACTCCTTACTTACTAAGGGGTACTGAGGCGGTAGTGCGCCGGCTGGATCTAGGAGCAAGGGAAGGCAGCAGATTGATCACTCTGTAGCCCAAACCCTCCAATGACCTCTCCCGGCGGTTTCATATAGATGTTGAACAGCATGAGGGATAAAATGGAACCCTGCAGAACTCCATGGCGGAGCTGCCATGGTGCAGAGCTATGATCCCCCAGCACCACCTTCTGGAAGCAGCCAGACAGGTAGGAGCGGAACCACTGCAGGGTAGTGCCTCTGACCCCCACCTCGGCCAGCCTCTCCAGAAGGATACCATGGTCGATGACATGAAACGTTGCTGAGAGGCCCAGGAGAACTAGCAGGGACGCACTCTTGCTGTCCCCCTCCCTGCACACGTCACCACACAGGGTGGCCAAGGCAGTTTCAGTCCCATAGCCAGGTCTGAATCCAGACTGAAATGGGTCCAGAGAGCTTGGAGCTGCCTGGCCACCACCCACTCAAGCACCTTGCCCAAGAACAGGATGTTAGCCACTGGTCTATAATTGGAGGCCAGCTCTGGGTCCAGGTTTGCCTGCTTCAGGATTACTGCCTCCTTCAAGGGTGCGGGGACCCAACCCTCCCTTAGAGAGGCATTAACTACTTTCCTTCTCTGTACTTTTTCCACCTCAGTAATTTCTTTTTTTCCAAGTAAGCTAACCAAACGGATGCTTCCCCCAGTAATATGGAGTTTGGCTTGCTGGCCTGAGCTATTGAAATTGCTTTGCTAAACTATTCATCCCATTGCATGAGCACCCATGGCACCAGACAACACGGTCTTCCTTTTCTCTCTGTCATAACTACAAACTGAATCCAAACAAGTCCTAATTGCAGCTCAGCTAAACACAGATGCTTCCCCGTGGCCGCTCCTCTGCAATGCCCTAAGGGAACTGGCACAAGCGTTTCTCCTTCCTCCTTTTTCACAGCAATGAGGACGCTCTGGGGAGATGGACCTCACCAAGCAGAGCTCGAGGACCTGAGGAAAGAGCAGGCTGCCACCCCCAGCAGCCGCGGCAGGAGTGTCCTGGAGCTGCTCAGAGAGCCGTCCCTGCGCTGGCAGCTGTACATGCTGATCACTGTGGTCGTGACCATGCAGCTGAGTGGCGTCCAGGCAGTTGAGTATCACGGGCACTGGTTTCATTGACGTGACTTGTCTTTTCCAAGCCTTGAGAGGAGAAACTGGAGGGGAAAAAACAAGACTGAAATGACTCCTTTGCGGCTGAGTTCCCTCTTACTGAATCTATGATTGGGAGCCATAGCTTATGTCCGAACCCAGCCTAGCTATTCATCTTGCCTGGACTCTCAATTCAGTCAAGTGAGTGAGTGAGTGATTGGTGCAAGCTCTTGATTGTTCCTGGATTCACGCACATGTTGACAAAATCCCTTTGCGAGACTGCTCTTTCCAGGCACGGCTGTGCTCTGCCCTGAGGGGGTCTCCTTTCCCTTATGTCCACTTCCTTTCAGATTTACTTCTACATGTTTGAAGTGCTCCAGACAGCTGGCTTCGACCCCAGTGAGATCCCCTACCTGTCCCTGGGGGTCAGCCTGAGCGAGCTGCTCTCGGCCATCCTTTGCGTGAGTGAGGGGCACGGGCCTGAGCACCGGGGGTGGGTGGGCAGCGGTCACTCTGGGCAGGACTAGGCAGGGCATCAGCAGCAAGACTGGCCTGAGAGGAGCGGCAGCAGCCGCTCTCTTGGACAGAGACACCACGGCATTGCAGCACATTGTGCCCCTTCCCTGGGGCGGAGGCACCACACCCCCCCCAGGCCTGGCACCCCCAGTGTGGCTGGTGTGCCATGCTTCAAGGGAGCACTGGGAAGCGCCGTTGGACTGGCAGACAAATTGACTCCAGAGAAACACGTTCCAAGGAATGGGATTAGCATGCTGGTGGCAGGCCACCCCAGTAGGACGGCCCAGCTGTGTCTCTTCCCCTCCCATGAAAATGTCTTCCCACTGCTGATTCAGCACTGGAGCCATGGAGAAGGGTTTCCTTTCCATTCCCAGGAGCCACTCCTCTAACACTGCAGTGTGGGGGAGGAGAAGCAAAGAAAATCTTTTTGTTTCCTATTAGCAATGGGAGACAAGGATCTTTAGTGTAGGGATAGCTTATCTCCAGCCAGAGAAACAGTGGTTTCCTTGGCAAGGAGGCAGGTGCCTGGAGGAAAAGCTGGCAAGCAGGACTAGCCCTCCACCCTGTTGCCTGGCAGGTCTGGCGCATGTGTTGGAGATGCCCCATCATTGCACTAAGTGGCACCTTTCAGAGAAATTTTGGAGCTATAGTAAAATCTGGACTATTTATTTATTATATGAAGTTCTCTGGGTAGTTCACAACAATGAAACCATGAAATACAATAAAATTTAAAATGATTTGTTTGTGTTTTTTAAATAAAAAGACAGTATAAAACTGAATTTTTAAAGAGATACAGTGTAAAGAGTGTAAAAACAACAAGAACTGAATAGGTTAAATGTCTGATAGAATAAGGAAGTCCTCATCTGGCACCAAAAGGCCCACAACACAGGGACTTCATGAGCTCTCTGGATGAGCAGGCACCTGCTCAGCTCCTGCAAGAGTGCCTTGAGGAGAACATCTTAAGGTCTATGTGAGACTAAGCCCTTTGACTTCCATATCCCTTTAGTCATTGCCATACAGCATCAAAAGCATAATCCAATAGAGGATGAAGCGGACTTTAGAACTTTGGACTGCCCATCTTTCTCCTGGTCCAGAGGATGCAAAGGCTGCTGAGGCCAAATGTCCTTGCTGACCAGATTGACTGGTGCCAGCAACATATTTCAGGCAGCCCTACATAAGGTGCCCTTGTGCCCCACCCCCAGTTGTGGCAGGTTCACCAGGCAGCAACAGGGAGCAGATCTGCGGATCGGACGCTCTGCCGTGAGCTCGGTGTCCCCTCCCAAGCGAGACAGTCACTCCAGCACTTCCTGTAAGTTTCATTCTACACAGGAAATTTGAGCATTCACAAGTGCTGACCCCTCTCTGCCTCTCTTTACCCAAAACTTTGCTTATGAACCCGTTGGTGCCAGTCTCTGGAAGGCAGGGTGCTGTGAAAGCGTGCGTGCCTCTGTTCTGCATTCTGAGCCCCTGGTTGGCCCAGCCTGTGGCTGTGACGATGGGCCCCCGGGTCCAATCCCCTCCTACGCTCAGGACTCCGAGTCCAGATGGTGCATCCATGATCATTTTCCCACAATACACAAAAATTGTGTGAAAATCAACATGGTGCCAGTGCTGGTGAAGCTAGACACATGTCCCAGAGCTCCTGACAAAGCCACCACAAGTCGCCATGGGCTCAGGTAGGACTCACCCCTAATTCAAGTATGCCATGTGCTGGCCTGGGCCTGCTGTGGGTGGAGCATTTGTGTTGCAGGACATCCAGAAGGCTTTTCCAGCTTCACAGAGCCTCACTCTCCATTTTTCTCCTCAGAGTTTCCTCATTGAACGGGTTGGAAGAAGAGTTCTCCTGTGGGGAGGTTATGGGCTGATGGCCACTGTGCTGGCTGCTGTTACCCTGACGCTTTCCCTTCAGGTAAGGGAACTGTCCATCAGGATTTGCTTACCAACATTTAATCTAAGATACAACCAGTAGCCTGCATTCAAGCATCCAGCAGCAGCTGTTTCACAGGGGCCGCCAAGGCATTTGCTCGAGGAGAAAGGAACAGCAAAAGCTAGGGCTGAGGACCCCAACTGGGTCCCTGATGCTGAACCCGAGGCTTGTTGTCAGAACCATGTGGATGCCTTGCCCAAGCACCATGAGCTTGACACCTAGCATTTCATCCCCATGACAGGTTAGTGGCCTCAGAAGGGAGAACCCTCGCCCTCAGGCAGTGGGGTGTACTCTGTGTAGCAGCCATACTCTAGCATGCTTAACCCAGGAAGAGTTGCTTGAAGTCGGAAGCAGGAGGTCTCCTGTTCTAAAATGCAAGCCTAGCTGTTTTCAGACAACAGACTCATTTGGCAATGACATATCAGCTGCTTATTAGAATTATCATGAATACTTTTTTGTGGCTAGTAATCTGGGACTGGGAGATAAACATCTTCAAGACAGACTTAACAATCTGATGAGATTTCCAGTGAATTAAGAAACGAATTTGAAATGCAGGTTATCAGACAAACACACGTGAAAAGGCAGCCCTTTGACCACAGATTCCCATTTGTCAGAGGAGAGCGTGCATCCTTTGATTGGAGAAAACCGCTAAGATGCCTTATTTGAAATTATTTTCTTCACAGAAGAAAATGTATCTTGATGTTGTTCTGATTTTTGCTTGCACCAGCACTGTACCTTGCACATTTATTCAAGTACTAGGGAGCTTCCTGCAGTCAGCCAGAGGCAGAACAGCCGCATGTTGCGTCCCAGAGTGGTTCCTGAATTAAAAGTCTAATACATGCCTCACCTGGTGACAGTGTGTGCTGGGGAATATGTAATGGGAGTGACTCCCTGGTGGTCTGGGGCTAAATACTGGAATTTAGAATGTGTAGGCGATGGCCGATTTGTCTCAGTTCAGACAGTAGATAAGACAGCTAATAACAGTCACCTGCCTCCGTCTTTTCCCATTTCTGGAAAAGCTTTCAAATGATGATGTAATTGCTGGATTATATAATCTATAAACGCTGCCCAGGCAGAACAAAAGAAGCACCACAGGCATATTTGTGATGGTGGTGGAGGGAGCTGTGCTGCAACCACGTTGAACCTGATGCCCAGTGGCAGAGCTACTCACCTATAAAACAAGAAGGGTATTTTCCATTATAGGCTTGGTTCTCCTGGATGTCGTACTGCAGCCTGGCCCTGATTTTTTGCTTTGTGATCTGCTTTGGGATGGGCCCAGGTAAGTAGCTGTGCATGTATTTGTACTGATATTTATAGATTGCTGTTCTACACAAGGCCTTTAAAGCACTGTACAAAATAAAAAGAAAAACTTCCAGAAAACAACAGAACCACACAATGGTGCCCTTTAGATTGAAAGAAAAACAAGACTCGACAACAGCTCTGGCTTTTGGCTGGGTGCTGCCACTCCTGAATGCTCCAATACACACATAGTGTACAGTTGATGAAGGACATGGCTCTGGATGTCGGAAACTTGATACCTGAATTTATTTGGTTCCACACAAACATAAAAAGCTAACCAGGTTGTTCTTGGGCAGTATGCAGAATGATGCTTGGATTTTACTAGCCAGACAAAACAAATTCATTCCAGGCTCTGTAGGATCAATCCAAACTGGGCCCATTGAACTGGACTGTTTCTACATTTGAGACTTCTCCCTCAGACGTGCCACCATGGGTCGGCAGCTGGAGAAAGGGAGAGGGAGGGGTGAAAGAGTCCATGCTTGGGCGGAACCCTAAGCATGGAAGTGTGAGCAGGGCTCGGTGCCCGCTGCGATCGCTGGCCCTTCAGTTGCTGGTCTCGCCATCCCCCCACCCCGATATACCTCCAGCCATCAGTCCAGATTTAGCCTCTTTAACCTCAAGTCTGCCTTCACCTACTGACACCTAACAAAATGGCTGTTTCCAGCATGTCTTGAATGCCTTCACCTGGGGGCATGAGCCACCATTTACAACAAAATGGTGGCTGCTCCATAAAACGTGTGGCAGTAGAGGCAGAGAGGAAGTCCAGCTCATTCTTCAGGTTCAGAGACAGAGGTGGAGGGGCAGAGCTAGGCAGCTGACTTTTCAGTTTGAAGGTTACCAAGTGAAGATACTAGGGCAGTATACGAGACCCAGCCTACCTTGGAAATGGAGGAGGACATTGCAAAACAGGGAGGGGTGAGATTGAGGGGAAGCTCCTTGGCCCTGTCAGAGGATGACAGATGAAGCAAGCAGACCACTTAAGAAGGACTGGTGCTCCCCCTCTAGCCCTCAAGGAGCAGGAGACACCTTGAGAGTGGAGTCAGGACCTTTCTGAAAGAGAAAAAAGGAGAGTATGTTTCAGTGTGGATTTGTCACTTGACAGGGCAGATACTTCACCCATGGAACAAAGAGAATATAACTTTCTTCAGGTCCCAAAATGGCACAAAGGACCATGCTTCTCAGGCATCATCTATGACTGCTGGATAAGGAAAAAAGCGGGGGGATGTGCCTAGGGCAGCAGACCTGGCTCGTCTTTTCTGTCGTGCCCACAGAGGCCTAGCAGCAGCATTAATTTTTATTTCTTCGCAGCTGGTGCCACAACATCTGTTAGGGTGGAAATCTTTGACCAGTCCTCCAGACCGCCTTCCTTTGTGATCAGTTCAGTCCTAAATTGGGTTGGAGTCTTTGTGATAGGAATTGTATTTCCATTTATTGTGGTGAGTATTTTCCGAAGCCTCCCCTTCTGCAGAAAGGGAGTGGGACATTCACTGTCATGCCATTACACTTGGATGCCACTGGTTTGCAGAGGGGTGTAAAGTCTACAGTGCACCTTGGGCGTGCAAGGAGCTGCATGTTGGTAAACCCAGCAGCGGCATGCACGCAACCACTGCTTCATATGAGGTGTGTGTGTGGGGGGGGTCTGTTTTCTCCCCAGGAAAGCCTTCGGCAATTCAGCTTCCTTGTCTTTATGGGAACACTTTACCTGGCAGGATTTCTTATCTACTTCTTCCTGCCAGAGACCAAGGAAAAATCAATCCTAGAAATCAAAGAAGAATTTGATATACTGAATTTTAAGAAGAAAAAGCATCTCACATCAGAAACGAACCATGCAGAAGGTGGTACATTCTGCACGAAGTTCTAACTGAACATTGCTGCAAATGAAAGAGTGATGCCATTCTGGACCACTGGGCTGCATCCAACTAGTTGCATGTAAACTCAATTTCCCCATGATATCCTGGAAATCGTTACCATTTCACTCTTCATAGCCCTGCTTCAAGTGACAGGATCTAGAAGAATGTGTTATAATTCAGTCCCTCAAAAACAAATTCATTTTTAGGCATAAGCCATATGAAATTCCATTTCTGAGGAGATGCCATGCCAGGGGTCAAACAAGGCTTTGAACTTGTGTTAGCTATTGTAGCTGTTTGAATTCAGCTTTCAATATGGCTTTTAAATTTTGTAATGTAAATTTTATGCTGTTTTTACTGTAAACCACATTTTACATTGTATTTTTATTGTTTTCTATGTGCTGCTATCAAGTGCCCAAAGCGATACTGGGAAGTAGAGAAAATAAATATATGCATACATACATGTTGCTTTTCTACATGAGGCATTTGTTGTGTGCAGTCCATTTTCTGACGTCATCGTTCTCCGAGGGTTCTCCTCTGTTTTCCAGCCAGAACTGAGGGAGGTCAGTTATTAAATTTCAAATGCAAGGCATATCAGAATGAAGCCTTGTACATTGATGGTCACAATTTCCATTAAAGATCAGTTCATGTTTAGGCTCCTGGGTGACAGCTAACAAAGAACTTTCCTTCCCCAAACTGCTGAGATCGGAAGGCCTGTTAAATTTGTCCACTCTCATTCAAAGCTAGAGTTGACAGTTACACAACTTCACCACTCCCTTTCCCTTCTCTCTCCTTTCCCAGGTTTATATGATACAGTAGTCGTTCGCCTTTTCTTGCTCCAGGATATTAGCAGCAGGCATGCACAACTGCAAACATCAGGGGTAGGTGTGGGGGAGAACAAAACTGATTCAGGCAAGAGCCGGGCACAAGCCAGAGTGTAACTGGACCAAAGGCAAAAGCAGGCTCAGGAGCAGACAAAGAACAGCTACTAACAAAGGCACGGCAGGACCAGAGGTACAGCTGCTTTGTCAGGAATAAGTGAGAATCAAGACCTTGCCATACTGGGGACAGAAGGTAGGTCATGAGCACACGGTGGCTGCCACAAAGACTTGTGTTGCTGTGGCAAAGCTGAGCAGGACTGAAAAGCCTTTTGAGGGGCCTCCTATAGCTTCCAGCTGGTCCATATGAGTTGACTGGAATTACTGTGGAGTTTGCTGCCACAGGAAGAGGTGATGGCCACCAGTTTGGATGGCTTTAAAAGGGGGGACTGGACACATTCATGGAGAAGGAGGCTATCAGTAGCTACTAGCCTTGCTGGCTATGTGCTCCCTCCTTCACCAGAGGTGGCAGGACTGCATACCCCGTTTGCTGAAATGCCTGGGCAGGAGGAGGTCTTCCACCCATCCCGCTGGAAGGACCCTGTGGGTGTGTGTACAGAGTGCTGGACTAGATGGACCTTTGATCTGATCCAGCAGTCTTTTCTCATGTTCTGATGAGTGGCTCTGATCCTGCAAACATCCTCAGATCCAATGGTATTGTTGCAAGTATGTGCAAAGAGAACAAGTGCTGAACTGGTTCAGTCTTGGTGGCCCAATAGTTGGCAGACCCTCACAAAGATCTGTCAGTGTGGCCTGTGTTGTAAGTGGAAAAAACCTCCCTTGGAGAGTTTGCTGGGGTTGTACCATCAAAAGAACATTTACAGTTTATTCAGACATTCAGGAAATACATGTAGTCTTCAGAGGGACTTGTAAAAGACAGAGTCTGTACAAGATGCTTTTACAAACTACCAGTTACATACAGTTTGGAGGAGAGATGGGCGATCATATACACAGGATGTTAGAGGCACATTAGAATAAAACAATAAGGGAAGAACACTCAGGTGGGGATGAGCACAACACAAAAGAGAAGAACCTTCCAGAAAAGACAGGTATTAGTATGGTTAAGGTGCTCCTTTCCAAAGGAAGGCCTTTCAGAAGATTAGTATGGCTAAGCAAGACTTGCAGCATGGATCCTTGATCAGGTCAGGAACGACACAGCAGAGGGTGACTCTCGGCGGGGAATCGTCAGGATGGCAGCTGGCGAGAAGTGGAGTCTCCCAGGGCTCAGTTCTGGGACCTATTCTATTCAACCTCTACCAGTGACCTGGGAGAGGGGGTAACCAGTTAGCTGAACAGATTTGCAGACAATACCAAAGTGGGGGCAGTGACCACACCAGGGGACAGGTACTCCAGATCCAAAAGCATCTAGACAGACTGTGGAAGTGGGTGGGGGACAACAGGATGGCGTTCAAAGGCCTTGCACTTGGGACACAAGGATAGCTGCCACAGGTCCCTAGGATGGGAGACAAGTGGCTGGAGAGCAGCACTTGTGAAAGGGACCTCGGGGTACTTTGTCTATAGCAAGTCAAACGTGAGCCAGCAGTGTGACATGGCGGTTAAGATGAATGCTGCCCTTGGATTTATAGCCAGAAACATGGCTTCCAGATTGAGAGAGGCATTAGTACCACTTTACAAGACTCTGGTGCACCCACAGCTGGAGTACTGTGTCCAATTTGGGGCTCCACAATATAGGAGAAACATAGCTAGGCTAGAATCAGTTCAGTGCAGGGTCAGATTGACTGGGGGTGGGAATGCCGTATGAAATGAGATTGAGGGAGCTGGGTCTTTTCAGCTTGAAGAAGAGGAGACTCCGAGGGGATCTTACAGTGACATACAGGTATGTGAAGGAGTGTCACATGGCACATGGTAGAGGGTCATGAGCTGTTCTCCCCTGCGGTGTAGAAAAAGGGACACAGTCCCAGGGGACAAAGTTGAAGGAACCAGGTTTCAGGTTCAGAAAGTACTTCTTGACAGTTAGGACCCTTAGGATATGGAATGGGCTTTCATGGGAGGTGTGTGGGGGGGGGGGCATCCATGAGGGCATTCAAGGAAAGACTGGACAATCACATGTTGAGTAATACATGAGCAGAGCCGGCTGGAGCTGGGGGTCAGACTCGATGGCCCGGGAGGCCCCTTCTGACTTGCTCAGTTTCTATGAAACACAAAGAGAATGATCCTCAAACAATTAGAGCGTACCACCAGGGGACAGGTAAGAGTTTCTAAGTTAATTGTAGGGAGCAAGACTTGCCATATGGATTGCTGATGAGATCAGGAATCCCATCTTAAGTCTAAAGCTGTTCTTACAGTGTCAGGCTTTCAGCGGCCAATTTATGGCAATGGGTAGCTTATTTATAAACCAATTAAAACAATAAATTCCCTGTCGACAAGCTTACAACCCAAAATGATGTGACACATAAGGAAAAAGAGATAGGGGAATTAACTCTTTCAGCAGGGCCAGTGAAATGGCTCTGTTGACCCACTCAGCTCCCGCAGCTCCAGCTGCTGTAGTGGATTCTGGTGATGTTGCTGAGGGAGGACGCATGATGGGATTGCAGTGGGGGAAGGTTAGGGTTAGTGTCATGGGAGAGTTAAGTTTGTCCTCCCAAGAAGATAGCAGAGTGTGCACTTGCCCCGCATTGCAATTGTCATAGAGCTTTTGGAAAAGACAAAAAGATGGAAACTTCTGGTTTACTACAACCCATAGGCTGCTTGGCACTACTCTTTAGAATTAACATTTCAGTAAGTGGAATACCACCAAAGTAGGAGGCACCGAAGTGGCCAAGGAGAGTCATTAGGGTCATGCTTTCCAGAACCATCTCCTAGCACTGCCTACCCATCAAGAAGAGCAAAGTAGCTTACAGTCCAGCACCAGGCTGCAAACCATATGGAAACCAAGCCAAACAAAGATTTCTAACCAGGAAAATGTGAAATAGAGGAACTTTTTATTTATTTATTTAAAGCTTTTCTAACCCGTCAACTACAAATGTCTTGGGATGACTTACAAAAAATGAGTAGAATAAAACAAACTCCACAGCATCTGACAACTGAAAATCCCAGTTAAAATCAATTCAACATTAAAATAACGGGAAAATAAAATGGGGTTTGCCTGATGCCGAAAAGAATATAACATCGGCACCAGGCAAATCTTTCCGGGGCGTGTACTCCATAGTTGGGGCACCACCGCAGAAAAGGCCCTCCTTTGGGTACACACCCTCCTAATCTTCTTCCAGGAGGGCTCCCGGTGCAGGACCTGTGCCTCAGATCTGAAGGGATGGGAGGGCACATAAGGACTCCTTCAGGTATCCCAGACCCAAGCCATTTGGAGCTTTATAGGTCATAACCAGCACCTTAAGTTGGGCCTGGACTTCAACTGGTAGCCAGTGTAACCGACAGAGGACCGGTGTTATATCGGAAAACAAGCCAGTCCCCATTATCATCCTGGCAGCTCTATTCTGAACCAGCTGAAGTATCCAGACCATCTTCATGGGTAGCCCCACGTAGAGTGTGTTACAGTAATACAGAAAGGAGCTTATCAAGCATGTTACCGAAGTAAGAGAGGTTGTGTCCATTGTTAAGTGGATAAGGACTTGTGAGCATTTGGGGGGGGGGGTCTAGAGGGACAGCTCACCACTCAGCTCAGGAGCACTGGCACCCTCATGCAGTGAGCAGAGTGCCAAGGGCACTCGTTTGTGGACAATCAGGGATATGGACAACACCTTCTCGTCAGGATGTCCATCAGAATAATACACTGAAAAATGTTTATCAGTCCATTACTGGATATAGCCCTAGCAATTGGAAGGGGCCATGAAGGCCAACCCCCTGCTGCTGCAGGACCACGTTACACCATCCCACTCAGAGGGCTGTCCAGTTTCTTTTTGAATGTCTCTACTGTAGGAGCGTATGTGGGAGTGTATGCCAACATACGCTGGATCATGGAGAAAGCTAGGGAGTTCCAGAAAAACATCTACTTCTGCTTCATTCACTATGCTGAAGCCTTTGATTGTGTGGATCACAACAAATTGTGGCAAGTTTTTAAAGAGATGGGAGTACCAGGCCATCTTATTTGTCTCTTAAGAAACCTATATATGGGTCAACAGGCAACAGTGAGAACTGGACATGGAACCACTGATTGGTTCAAAATTGAGAAAGGAGTTCGGCAAGGCTGTATGCAGTCACCCTGCCTATTTAACTTATATGCAGAGCACATCATGAGAAAGGTGGGGCTAGATGAATCACAAGTTGGAATTAAGATTACTGGGAGAAATATCAACAACCTCAGATATGCAAATGATACCACTCTAATGGCAGAAAGTGAAGAGGAACTCTTGATGCGGGTGAAGAAGGAGAGCGCAAATGTTGGCTTGAAACTCAGCATCGAGAAAACTAAGATCATGGCATCCAGTCCTATCACTTCCTGGCAGATAGATGGGGAAGAAATGGAGGTAGTGACAGCTTTTATTTTCCTGGGCTCCAAGATCACT